GTTGAAGTTGTTTTTTTTTTTTTTAATTTGATTTCTTCATTTACATCTAAAATAGCTCACACAAACTTTAGGATCATTTGCACCCATAAAATATTCCAAGGTAAAAACAATCCCAAGCCTTCATCTTTTTTTTTTTCTTTTTTCTTTTTTTTTTTTTTTTTGTGAGAGCAATTTTTTTGTGCATACTTGTAATAATTTGCTGTAAATTCTAAAATGAAGTGAATCAGAGGCTGCCTATTTGTTTTCATTAAAATATTTAATTTCTGACCACTAAGACCCAAATCCCAGGCCCACTGAAATGAATAACAGAACTTCCAATTGCTTCCAGTAAACTAAGCTTCAATCCTATATCAATGTTGCAAGGCTCTGTTGCATTAAGTGAGACTGCCTTCTCATTGGCATACCTCTATATATAGATATAGATATAAGAATTCCTCAGCATAAATCACTTATGTGCATGCAAAGTAGATATATCCAGCACAAAGGAAAAGGCATGAATGCACATCCTTGTCTGCAGGAGTGGTATGGGTGCAGGCACAGGTGTACGAGTATGTCTGCCGTGGTATACCTGCATGTAAGGACATACGTGTGCTTATACACACATGCAGGCAAATACATATTCAGATGTTCCCTACTAGCACACAAAACTCTGGGCCTGGCTACGCAGAGATGGACACATACAGTACTTTCTGTACGGTTTTCTAAACTGGTTCCCACCTTCCTAGATTCATCTGTGCTTTCTCAGGTTGTTCTTTTAACCAACCAACCCCCCAACCCCCCCATCCCCCCTTAATTCTCACATTTTTATACAGTGAAACAGATCAATAAAGAATGGCTATCCTCTTCTGGAAGTAAATTGCTTTCATTTGCTAAATTTGAAATCTTTGATTTGGTATGCCAAGGGGGTGGGGGGGGTGGGGGGGGAGAAAAAAAAACAACAAGGGAAAATAAGCTTGTTTTCTAAAAGCCAAGGAGACTGCATTAAAAAAAAAAGATGTGCAAATCATCTCATATGGTGATTCATGGTCACATTTCTCAGTATCTTGTAAAAAACGAATATTTGTAATTTCTGATCTCTAGATTTCCAGCACTTCTAGAATCCACCTTTTACCCCCTTTACCTATTTCCTTCCTGCATGGTTTTTCTTGCAGCTTTTCACTCCAGTGAATCCCTGCCTTTCAAATAAACTAGAAGAGAGAAACGATCCCCACTCAGAGCAGCTACAGATAAGCATAAAGATCTCTGGGATTCAGAATTCAATTAGGTAAAATAAGAGTTTGCAGGGAGGTTGCCTCCTCGTGTGGAGCAAAAAGGCTTTGGAGTGTGCCCTCTCGTGGCCGTTCTTTATTGAACATGAATATTTGTACCCTTAAATACATCTCCTTTCAAAAGAAAATTGTTGAAAGTATTCAAAATACATAAGCGACACATCTTTTGGTTTTTTTCCTCCTGAACTGCCAGCTTTGTTGTATAGGGTAGGTATCTTCTGGGAAAAGACTATGAATAGATGCATACATGTATCCCTCTGCACATTAAAGTAGACATCACATGATCAAGTCAGTTCACCTGGGATTCTCTATGAAGTGGTACAAAACAGTGGAAGTGGTCTAAATAGCTGGCAGACTTCTCCTTTTTTTTCCCCTGGAATTTCTCCTGAAGAAATTCAGTTGGCAGAATCCCAGATCTGCCTAATAAGCTGTCTACTTAAAATAATGAATGAGTTAGTAGCCAATCATATTTAAAAGCATTGAGTATCTCTGTTGTTGAACTTGTTGGATTCACTTGTCACAAAATTATATGACCACCCTCCTCAGAAAAACTATTTTCAAGACTTTGAAGTAACACACAGAACTCTGGCACAGCTTCCCTTACAGCAGAACTGATCAAAGTTAGTAATCATTTTTTGTTATGCAAGTAGAAAATAATTTTCATGTTTTACTTGTAAGAGTGCCAAAGGACAGTAGGGTGCATATGTAACTTTTGCCCAATACTCATAGTCATTAGTTTTGCAGAGATCTGTCTGGATTTGTTAGCTGTGAAAACTACCTGCCAACTATTTTGCTGATTTCCTGGACATAACTACACCTGTTCTTCAGACAAGTTTACTGCATTTACTTCCCCTCTAATTATCTAAAGTCTGTGCTTGTTTGAATTTTGGTGTGTTTTAGAAAATAGCAGTCTCAAGACAGAGCCATATGCACAGGGTGCTGCTTGTTCATTCACTCAATTTCTTTGTATGTTTGAGAATATGGCTGATGAAAAATGGACATACTACCTTTTTATAAAGGCAAGTAGTAAATGTGACATCTGAAATACATGAGGAAACGCTGGTTTATGTCAAATCATGCCCAAAGAAACAAGCAGCCTACAGTCTTATTTTGCTTTTTGTAGACTTTTTTTAATACAGTATGAGATGTTTTCATTCATTTTCATTTATTTCCTATTGTCCTCTATTGAGGCAGAGTGAGTCTAATGTTAAAAGCAGGAAACACATTAACCTGGCTGTGAGCGGAACATGTTTGTTCTCCTGCTTGGTGTTGAAACTTCTTCACGCTATTCCCAGTTCCCACAGAACAAAAAGTGGAGATTGTCCCTGTGGCTATTTTCTATTCCTGTCCTTTTAACTCATACTTCCTATATGACATGTCACTTGCCTTTGTTCTTTGCCTCACTTTCCTTTACAGTAAAAAAATATTGGTTTAGTATTTGACAGGAATAGCTGCCAGTGCAGAAGAGGACAGGATCTCAAATAGGGTTTACTTAAGTTGTTGCAGCATTGGCACCTGTAAAGCGTGGTAGATCCTCTGATGTTAGCAAGTTACTAGATGAATGGCTGTAGAAGAAGAATATGCTTGAGTAATCTGAAGTTACTCCACAGAGTGGATTTATCATTTCCATTATAAGCCCAAACCGGAGCTCAGTCTTTAGGTTGCTAATAGTCCCTCCCTTGTCCCAAATCAAAGAGGTATAGAAAGGTAGCAGGTATGATAAAAATGAGCAGAGCAGCCCTCCTGCCTGGGCGTCCAGGACCATCTTAGTAGGAAGGAAGAGAACTGTGGCAGGGAGGAGAAGGCATGAGAAAACAGTGGATGCCCCTGTCCTGCAGCTCCACAGCGTAAGTCCTCTTCAAGTAATTTGTCAGCAACAGTAGGAGAACACTATGTAAATCAAGCTGAGTGACAGAGTTGGTGGCTGGTGGCGGGGGATCGGTGGCAGGATGATTGGCCAGTGTGTGGGCAATGGCACGATTTTTACTGCTCACGTGACCACAAGAGCCAATGGCTTCGGGAGCCACTGCTGGAGGGTACTGTACAGAGTAGGCATATATCAAATTCCAGATTCCTTTGTGTCAGAGCTCAGGAGAGACAATAATGTGTTTACAAATTAATGCGACGCACACAGTGAAGAGAAACCACTGTTCGTGCCATATGTGTTCCACTGTGCTCAGAGCGAGCTGCTGAAAACCAGGTGGGGAATCCGACTCATAGATAGCTTAGAGGTTTTCTTGCTTTTATAAATTCATTTCTAAACTAATGTTGAGCTACTCCTGCTTCTAATGACCTCTGGCATTGACGTCTTCTCCCTGCTTTCTGAAGTGGAGGGGATGGAAAATCTGAAAAGCCTGAGCTCTCATGCTAAAAGAACTGATAATATGTATATTGACAAGGACTCAAAAGGCAAGGGCTCCTCGTACAGTTGGAAATCAGACAGCCAGCAGGAATGTCTGCACTTACAAGCATGCACACTTCTTGTGCATGGCTTCCCTGCAATCAGAACATCTGAGTCAACAGGTTTTCAGGACTGGAAACTCTGAGTGTTGTCTTAATTGTTTATACTGCTGCAGCAAACTTTTAAACAAAAATGCTTGGAGTTCCTTTGCATACTTTGCCTACCATATGCTGTACCAAACAAAACAATGACATTCTTTTAAAACCGTCTTGGCAACAGGAAAAATGCTTTGGCTAGACAGCATCATAAAAAGTTGCTGTTAGTTAGATGATAGACTTATTGCAAGTAACTGCTATTGATGTGTGCACTAGTATACCCACATACACTAACAGATTTATGTGCAGATACACATATGTTGAATTAAAATGGGTTATGGTCCTATTCATGTAGGAACAAGACAGCAAAGTACAACTTTAGAGTTGTTTCCTATGGGCAGTTTGTGTTAGCCTAAAGACATTACTTACTAAATACATATATTCTGAGCTCTTGCTGCCTAAGAGTTACGGGGAAAAGAACTGTAAAAGAGTTCAAAATACACTCTACCAAGGTTGCATTTTTGGCAGGAGTGTTTTAGGAGCAGAATCTTTTTTCCAGTATGCAGAAGTCTGCATTACAAATTGGATCAGCTACAGCAACTTGTCCAGTTCTATTGAAGTCATCTGACAGTCCCTGCAACTCTTTATTGCCAAAGATGCTGTGTTAAATTAAAAAAAAAAAAAAAAAAAAGACAAAAAATGAGGGAAAAAGCCCACAAAAAAGCCATCTCACTTCTAAAACTTAAAGCTGCTTCATCTGATTTTATAACTTCCACTATAATTTTTACATGAAAGGGCTGTTTCTAAAGTAGTTTGCAGTTCACTTTCTGTCTTCATAAACTCCCCAGAAGGCTACAGTCTTTTTTCTTTTGCCATCAACTCTGCAATCCAGCCCTATACTGCAAGTACCCTGGATTTACAGGCAGAGTTTGGAGGACCCTGCTGCAGCCTGACTTTATGTTCAAGATTGGTTAGAAAGCTTCCTCCCTGTGTGACTGACTGTGCTTAGCAAGTGTAATCTGTAGCCAAGACTAAGTCAGAAAAATCAAATTCCTTCAGAGTCCTACCCCCCCATCCCATTCCTCCTTCTCCCTTCCCCCAGGTCTCATCCTACAACCTCACAGAAAACATTATTGCTGAAGAAAAGAAAATAAGTTATTGCAGTTTTGGCAGAAAGGATATTTTTCAGTTTGGGCACAAAGGATATTTTACATTATTTTTTTTTAAAGCACTCACCTGATTCCGCAAAAGTGATGATTTCTGAGGTTTGCTCCACAACTTCATTCATTTCGGCTCTTCTTCCAACATCATCCTCTATTTCCACATAACCATCCTCTCCCACCTTTCCCACGTGGAGTTTTTTGATGGCATTTAAAAGTGCTGCCTTGGGCACTGGCTGGGTGATATTAGGTCTGTCCCTCAAGTGCAACATGTTCAGTATGTGCTTCTTTACTGCTTCCACCATCTCAGGCTGTGAGCTGGGCACATCCTTTGAGAGCGTGGCAAGGGCACATGATGGACAGTCAGTGACTGAACTGTGCCCCTCGGATCCTGGGGTTGGGGAACTCCTCACTATAATCCAGCAAAGCACCAACAGAAATCCTCTCTTCCAAAGCAAAGGCATCCTGGCAGCAAAAGTTGTTGTGATTCCCTTTTTAAAAGGCCCTGCTTTTCCTCCCCCTTCACGAACAGTTTTTTTGGGGGCTGGTTTAGTTTGTTTGTTTGTTTGTTTGTTTTTCCTTCTCTTCAGCAAATTCTCTGGAACAAGAACCAAAAGTTTTCTGTGAAGTTTTGTTTGCAGGTTCCCACTCTGAATGCAATAAGTGCTGTAGATGTTTGTGGCTGTCAGGGAGAAGAGTTCTGACTCTGTCTCAGAGTAGGAGAGAGACACAGAGAGAGGGAGAGAGAGAGAGAGGACGGATTGGCCTAAAGTGAGTGAGTGAATGAGAGAGGGAGGGAGTTTTGTCTGTGAGTAAAGGCTATGATTAGGAAGGGGGAGGAACAGGCAGGCTGGCTTCCTTATGCTCATTGCTCCCCTAACACACACCTCTCTTCAAATATCACTACTCGTGGTTCCTTCCCTCCCCCCTTTCTAAAATATCTTCTCATTCCTGTAAATTTAGTCTTTTTCTTTTCCTTTTTTTTTCCTTTCTTTTTGACCCCTCCCCCCCCCCAGTTGTCATCCCCCCCCTTTTTTTCCTTTCTTTTTGTTTTGTTTTGTTTGTTTTATTCCTTCAACAGTATCACTGGCTTAACTAAACAGAGGAAACATGAATGAATGAAAAGAGTGAAATCTTTAACGAGCACCTTGCTCTTGGTCCTGCCTGGTATTGTTAGGGATAGCAGGAGATGTTAAATAGCTTGTGAATGAGATGGGAATGAGGGCAGGGGCTCTGAATATTTTGAACAGAACATTATTTTGCCTGGAGTAGAAGAAAAAAATCTTTTCTGCTCACTTCTAAATGCTGGGGGTTATCAACACTGGCAAAAGGTCTGACAAGCACAAAACAGCACTGTTGTTTGGAGGGCTTTATAATACATGATACACTCCCCAGCTGCAAAATGCAGTCAGGCACTGAAAGCCTAAGCAGGAGCTGGTACATATATGTGACATGACATGGTAGTGCCATATAATAGCCCTACTTCTGTGCTAGTCTGTGCCTGGAAGTTCTTGGGTAGATATATTTAGGTTTGGGGTTAATCAAGCAATGCCTGAAAAATGCTTTGAATGTGAAAAGTGTTACATGTCATCTGGCCAAATCATACTTGCTTCTGACTCAGGCAAATCCCTCATCGATGCCAATAATAATTCTGTCTGAGTGAAGGCTGAGTAAGATCTTCTGCATTTGGTCCATTGTTATTAGGAGGCACTTATTACTTCATTCATTTAAATCTCAGACAGCAATCATAATATTAGAATAGGACATTGGAAATTAAAAAAAAATCTAAAGCACTGCAAGAAGTTTCAGCCAGTGTTGGTAGCCCCTTGTCAGTTTATGCCAGGGAGGGCTTTGCTCTGCAGTGAGAAGGCATTCCCTGTGCCATTGCCATGGCTTCAGGTTGCCTTGACGTTCTGTATCCCCTCCGTTCTCCTTCTTACCCAGCAAAGCTGAAGTTTGCAAACTTGCTTACATTTGAATATGAGAATGGAAAAATGACAGCTATAACTATAAATTTTGAGATTCTTCCTTTCAAGACATTATCTTGTACCAGTTTTCTTAAAGCAGCTTCTTCTTTTTTTAGCGTTTGCCCTCTTTCTTTTCATTCCTTTCATTCTCTCTCTACCACACCTCTGTCTTCTTAGATGGGCTTACCTCCTACCCAGCAAATATTCCAGCATATCTCAGCATATTACTGTCAACCATTGTATTTCACAGTGGAAAGGAATAATTTATAAATATAAGCATTGAAAGGTCTCTCATTTCCATGAGATGACTACAGGCACATGGGCTAAGAGACAGGCAAGGAATTATAGGTAGAGTAAATGAAACATACAGAAGTAATTGAACAATCAACCAAAGTCTTACAAATGTTATATACTGCTAGTCCTTTTCAATTAAGATCTTTTATAAGTCTTTTACTGTTATAAGGCATCCACAGTACCCCCTCATCTGTGTTTTACTGACCTCAGTTACTATACTGTTATATACTGTTACACTTACAGGTCTGTCAGCATTATAAACCCTGCAGCCATTCTTATAAACACATCTTTGTAACACAAACCTCACTATAATACATTGAATTTTCTTGGATCTTGTGAACAGACCAAAGTCTGTTGTAATTATATGAAGTCTGAAAGTCAGCTTGAAATAGAACTAAAAGTTTAATTGGATGAAAAAATAATTTCAGATGAAAATATGCATTCATGATTAGATGTACTAGCAGATGACATAATTAAAGGAGTTATATATAGTTCTAATATAGCACCTATCCTAACAGTGTCTGATGAAAAGTAAGGGAGCGGCATAAATCAAAATAAAATGCAGATAAGTATGTCTGGGTTCTTGCTGTGGGGTATATGTTGCTTGCCATATACTACAGGTACAGTTATCGCATACAATCTCTATTACATAGAGGTACAGCATATTTTACTTGCATGCCATGATGATGACAGATTTAATGCTAAAGCATAACTTTCTAAAAACCACTGTTTTCTAAGAGAGTCTTCCAATACCGCTGATACATGGTTTATTTGTACTTACATGTATATACATATACGTACAAAAATACATACAGAAATGTGTTTGAATACATACAGAAATGTTGGTTCAGACTCTTTCTTCAAATTACCTGAGCTGCAAAGTTCTGCATATGCATTCATTCAATGTAACCCTAAGAGTATGCAACAGCATGCACAGGAATTAAAAGTTTCAGTTTGAAAGGAAAAAAGCTGATTGAAAGTTTTACCTCTCTAGTCCTGACTCTCAGAAGGAGACTGCTGTATTGTGCTTTAAGAACTGCTGAAGTTCCTCTTTGTGGTACTCATAATGCGAAGCTTTATACTGTACTTCTCGTGTGTACACATCACATATAACGTCTGTCAAAAGTGGGCCGGATCACTGTGCTGGATTGGTTAATCCTGTTACATCAGCAATTGACTGTTTTTCCTGTATGAGACATACTTCTGGTAATTAATTATCTAATGGAAACTCCTCATTCTCTAGCATGACAAAATATCGTGGATCAACTTGTGGTGATTTCTGTATCCATTTAAAGACTAGAACTTAAAATCAGACAAAGCAAACATTATGAGTCAGGAAGATACACTCCAACTTGTTGTATTGCATAGCTAGATATTATTAGATGTAGATAACACTCTTCTAGTTCAAATACAGTATTTGCCAGATACTTAATTACTACTTTGCAAATTGTTTTCTTCTTCTTACATTCTTGAGGATATACCAGATAATCTTTCTGCAAATTTGGATTTTTTTCAAATTCAGGAAAATGCATTTGAGTAAGAATCCTTTGGCTTTGGATGATTTTTTTTTTTTTTTAATTTCAATCTCTGAATAAATATGTCCTTCTGTTTAAATTAGGGATCCCTTTAAAGCTCTTTAAAAAATGAATCATATTGCTCCTGTCCAATTCTCCTGGCTCCTTGACGTGCAGATTGCATCACACTATTAAAAACTGTTTAGATATCTAAAAATAAACTACAATGAATGACAGTTCACTTTTTTTTTTGCAAGTGTGGTATTAACACTTGTCGAATAAAATAAATGGCAATTTTAATTTCAATTTACATTAATGAAAATCAGAAATAACTATGCCAATTAGGCAGTACAGAAGTAATACATAAAAGGTCAAAAGTAAATCCAAAATCCATCTCCTTTCTTAAACACATATAATAACTGGCTTTATGTGGTACCGTTTATGACAAATGGCATGATCATGCAGTCTTTACTCATTCATAACACCCACTGATTACCAGAAAATCCCCATCCCTCAGATTTTTTTTTTTTGGCCTGAATCGTACTTATAATTATATTTTTTATGTCCTCTTGGTATTGTAACTTTAATTTATCTTGGAATATGCCTGATCTGCATCAAAGAAAGATTTCAAGCTTTCAATTTACAGTGATACCAGGGAGTCCTTATAGCAGTGTTGATCCCAACTGGTGTGTGTGCTCTATTCACACAACAGCTTTGGCAGAATGAGAAAAAAATCAGAAGTTAATGGGAAACATATGACCAGATAGGTTGCTTTGTTTCCCATTTTTAATACGCATATAATAAGTGAAACAGGTTGCAGTAGCTTTTCTGCAATCTGAGTTTGGTGGTTCCAGTTGCTACAAAGAACAACGCTTCTTTTTTTTGTTGTTGTTTTTTTTTTTTTTTACTTTTTTTTCCTTCTTTTTTTTTTTTTGTTTTTTCACCCCTCCTTTCTTTTTCCTCAGGGACAGTGAGACACTTGCTTCAAGAAAAGATAATGAGCACATATATACCCAGTTAGTCTCAGGACTCTATTTTTCGTGGGGATCCTAAACCAAGGTTTTGCCAAACGACTTTTCCACCTTGCAGTCCTGCTTTTCTCAGGAGCAGGCTGAATTTGGTTTGAACTGACATCCTAAAACTCTTGGAAATTTGTTGCGTACTGGTAGTGCAATGCCCGTTGCAGTTTGTCAGCGGACATATTCTCAGCAAGGGACCCTACATTGCATTGCATTTACGGAGAATAGAAAATTTGCCCCGGGAGTACCGGAGCTGTCTCCTGCTTGGAGTCAGAGTGGTGCGGTGCCGGCTGTGACCGTCGCTCCCCTCCTGGGGCAGCGACCAGCCGGGACCCAGCTTCTCCCAGCTTCTCCCACTGCGGCAGCGGGGCAGAGGATTCCCAGGGAGAAGTGTGTGGTCCGTGACAGAACGAGAAAGCTACCGAGTGAAGCACAGCGAGCACGTATGTGATTTATAGCGCAGGATAAGTTCTGAAAGGAGTTTAGGAGAAGTGAAAAGCATTATTCATTTCAGAGCATGCTCCTTATTGCCCCGGGGAGTTTGTGTATAGCTTTACCAAAGGCCTAATGAAAGCTTTACTCGGTGACTAATTTTTTTTCACACCTATTTCTCTCTTTATAAATATTTTTCTCCCCATCCCCCACCCCCCACCCCGCCGCACTCCTTTTCATTTTGTTGAACACAGCAACACCTGCTGGCAGTGGTCCGGGAGTACTGCTGGAAAGACCCACTGATCTAACTCTTCAGACCAGCTGCCATTGAGCACTGCCAAGCCATATTAATGAGCTGCCTCTATTTTTACCCCTTCCTGCCAGAAAGGGCAATTGCTCTTGGGAAAGACTGTAGCTGGGTTTGGTTTTTTTCTTTTTTCTGATTTTTTTTTTTTTTTCTGTCAGCTTCGAAGTCCGGATAATCATTGTTCAATTGGGATTTCTAATTTAAATTCTGATACCACCAACCGAGACCACATAAAACATTGGAGTGATGCTGAGCCTATCTTGCTGGCTCACAGGCATATTTTAGTTCTCTGCTGTATCAGAAATAACTAAAAGAATTGGACTGAGAAAGAAAGGT